ATTCGCGTACATGTATATATAGCCCCCTTTTATTGGAATATTGTTATTATTATTATTATTATTATTATTTTTACTATTGCTCAATGATATATTTTTACTTTTAATTGATAAATAGTTTTTTATTCCTTTATTATTATTATTAAATATAAATTTTTGAAATAATAATTTCATTTTTTTAAAGAAAAAATTTTCTTGATCAAACTAAATATTCGTGTTACAATCATATTTATGATTGACTCCGGAAATTTTAAATTCTAAACCAGAAAATTTAATATCAAGTACTTTTACGCCTTAATTATTATTAACACGTACAAATCATATTGATTTTTTTTTTTTTTTTGAAAAAACAATTTATTTATTTTTTACATGAGGAATATGAATGTTGTATGGTATGAGTTCCTAAAGAAGACAAGGTGTTGTTATTTATTAATCGTGAGAGATACACTATTTTTTATTTTTATTGTTTTATATAAATGTATAGATATTTATCTTTTATTATTTTATATAATATGTATATTATTGAAAACAAAACGCAGAACAGAATTTGTACTGTCTTTTGGCAATTATTATAGAAAATTCACATCAAATAACAGATTAACAATTATTAATATTATTATTAATATTAAATATATAAATCATAAGATGTCAAGGTGACATGACTGTTGCAGGTGATATGTAACGTTTGATTATTTGAAAATCGGGCAATTGTCAAGGCATACACACTACCTTGAAGACATTACAGTCATTCTTACCTTTTCCTTGTGTTCACAAGGCTAACCTGGCTAGTTTGCCCTGAGGTATGATGATGCAACTAATTTTCAGAGGGGTATGTGGCCCTGGAGTTTATCAAAAGATTGTATCATTGTTGACAAGGAATGGCTGATAAAAGTACAAGAGGGAATAAAAAGATTTTTTTAGCTTGCATATCTTATTGGGAAGAAAAAAAAAATCCCAATGCTTACTATATTATACATGAAAGATCTTGAACACTGTTCTGCATCTACTATTTTGCCTAATGTTTTAGATATGATTAGCAAACATTCTTTAGATTCATCCCTCTGTCAATATTGGCTCACTGATAATACAGCACACATGTCTGGATTAAAAGGAGGTGCTGTTGTAGAATTCAACAAAATATGAACAAATCCTGTTAGAATTCCTTGTGGACTGCATGTTATCCATATAGCTTGAACAACATTTAATAATGTTACCCTTTGGAAAGATTAATTCACCCTCTGGATTATCTCTGCAACCATCCATTGTTGTTCAGTGCTTTACACTATTGCAGAACAGCAGGAGACATAATATTATCACTTATTTATATAGTGGTTAAAAAAAAAAAAATAATACCTTAATAATACATGTTTTAAGAAAATGTTTAATAAAAATGTAAAATTAAATGTTAATATATAGTTAATTAATGATTGACATATACTGTAAATATATTATTGCATTATACAACATGGATTTTTCAATATTGTTTGTTTGCACAGGGTTTGTTGATTAACACTCTTTTGGTGTTAAAAACAGGAATGTTGTTCAACACTATTTGACATCTCTAAAATTTTCCTGATGAACTGTTAACTACTTTTAATAATGATAAAAAATAATATTTGCAAATATATATATACAATATACAATTGAATTATGCTACAAATTCTTTTAAACATTAGTATAATAACAATCTAAAATTGAATAAAAAGTATACATATATAAATAATTAATTTATTACAGAGAAACACATATTTTGAAAATGCAATATTTAAATTAAGAACAAGATTAACAGGATTCAAAATCAACAGATTGCAATTCTTTATTTCTTAAACAATGGTTTTCTTGGGGTGAAGTATGTTGATCTGATAAAACTGGCCTTATGATTATTTAGTGTTGAAATATTTTCAGAATGAAAGATTCTGTGAAATGGATTTTATATTATCCTATTACTTAAAGGAGTTGTTATAAGCATCCATCATCATTAAATGTCAGGAACACCGATTGCCCTCTTTCTTATCTTAAATAAACATAACACCTCCAAAGTTTTCTCCAAAGTAGCAATATCATCAAGCTTTAGCAGGGAACCTAAATGCTGGACCCTCAAAATATAATCCATTATCTACTAGATCAATACCAATGACTTGACATGGAGAGCTAACATAATGATAAGAATTACATGCTGCCCAAATCCCAAATGCACAAACTAAATTTGGGCATCCATTGAAGAATTCCCAAATCCCAAATGTAGGTTAAGTGCCTGAAATTTGTGAGGATGATCAGCAACCCCTTTGTTATGCTGGATGCTTATTGGACAGGAGAGCAAGGGGATTTGAGGTTTTAATTTGGGCAACATCTATAATAAGAATTATGAGCATCAATTACAAATATGTAGTGTAAAAAGCCCTTACCAGCTAATTGTAATCCTAAAACAGCAGAATCATCAACTGCTTCTTTTGAAAGGTCATGTTCCAAATACTGACTGAGAATGCATTTATTTGTTCACATACATTTACTATGATCTTTAATGATTTATTTGGTGCTGCTGATCAAGCAGCTTCTGAATAGAATTGTTAGTCAAATGTTTTGAGCATGGTTGAAACATTTCATCATTTGACATTTAGGCATGTCAAAAGTCTAAATTGATGTCAAAGGTCTAAATATTTGTCAAAAGTCTAAAGCTATGCCAAAAGTCTAAATTAATGTTGAAAGTCCAAATTGATGTTAGAAGTCCAAATAATGTCAAAATGCCTAAATGCCATTGAAACAAAATGCCTAAATGTTGTCAAAATGCTTAAATTACGCCCTTTTCAGGCATTGCTTGAGTGTTACAGTCGGTGCAGCTCAATTATTTAAGCAATATCAAATATATACATGCAGCCCAAAGTATTTTGACACTGTCATAAAGGGGGTTACACATGTAGTAAAGGGGTGTTACACTTATGTTTTAATAGTGAATGCCGTAATTAATTTCTACTTTCTACCATCGAAATTGGAATAATTTTGACCATCAAAATCACCAAACCAATTTGGGCTGCATGTATAATCAAATATCTTATTATTTTTTTATTTATAAAAAAAAAAACAAATTTTATATGCTAAATTATTTATCTTATTCATTCTGTAAACTTTGTACAAATGCTTGCTCAAAATCCACCTTCATCGAATTCATTATCTTCATTATTGCTGTCTGTGTCATTATCATCATTATCATCATTTTTTTTTCACTATTGGAATCCTTAAATTTGGGGTGGGGCGTTTGGATACAAGGTTCTGATTGGCTAATTTGAATTTCACGCACAACGTCTTCTTGCCAAATTCAGGATTGTCTAACAATAATTGTTCAATATTAGGATCATCAAGTTCAAGTTCCCAGCTTTAGCTACTAAAACAAGCTTCTTGAAAAACACCCAATAAAATCTAGTTCCTATAACAATCTTAGAAGTAATTCACAAAAAAATCACAAACTTTATATTCTTCTATAATAAAAATTTGGAAAAAAATTTTTAATTCCTTTATTGTTACAGTGAAGTTACATTGTATCAATGTATATACAATTTATCAGCTAATCTCAAATAAAAATTTGTACTATTAAAAAACTATTTTTTCCATTTTTAAACTAGATTAATATATTAACTTCACCATTTGCATGATTTATATAATACTTTGAACTAAAGAGTATGTATCATATTACCATTATTAATTGAACCATTTAATTGTTGTCAAATTTACCAAATTGGTTTATATAATTAATTATTAGTGTTGAATCAAATATATTATTTCATAATTAATTGCTATAATATTTTAATAACAAGAACAAAATTTACGCATTGCCTCAATCTCATTGATACTTAGTCTTGTTCTATAATCACCATGTATACATTTTAAAATCGAAAATTTCGTTCACAAACTGCCAATTCTTGCAATTATAATAGAACATTGCCTTCATCCACATTGATACTTAGTACATGGCCTTTAAACCTTTACCTTAAAATACAATACAAAAGATGAAATAATTATTTGTTAAATTTAAAATCACCCACTCCTATTTCCATTGATGGTGACAGCAAGCTTAATTAGGCCAACAAAACAATCAGATGTATTAATAGACCTCTCTTCCAAATTATTTTGTCAATTCTTTAACAGGTTTGAAATTTCACTATTTCCAAAACAATTAAATACATCACTATCAAAGGATGACCATTTTCACGAATCTATCAAATAACTAAATGTTAAAATCCCTTCTCAATCAAAAACCGGATTTGATCTTTTCAAATCCACTGTTGTACAAAATAAACCCTCTATTACCATTGCTATTTAATTTCTTGTTTACGACAAAAACTGTGATTTGTGAATCAAGGCTTTCAAGTTCTATAAATAATATCACAAAGAAATTCATGCGATGGAAATTTGTTAAGCGCCACAATAATATTACTATAATGCGATTTTATTTCAAAAATCAATTTCAACAAGGTTTTAGTTTCTACCTTTCTAGCGAGTTATCACTTACTTTGTTGATAGGATATTTTTTTTTTTGATATGAAATTCTTTCAATTGTTCTTCAAATTCGTAGTCACTATTGAATACCAAGTCTGCATAATTTTTAGCAAATTTTCTTTCACTAGTTGACCATTGATCAATATTTCCGAGATATCGGGTTTTCTTTGTTTTCTATGTTAATATTTACATAGTAAACAAAGAAAACCCGATATCTCCATGAGAATGTGACATATCAACAAAATAAAACCATACCTTTGTAGAGAAAGGTCTTGGCACTGTATTATGTGAATTAAATCATATATTTTCGCGATTAAGTAAAAATTTTTTCTCGATATATTTTTAAAATTGTCAGGGGACCCTTTATTTGAGAAAATCATTCTAACGGGAATAGATTCGTACGTTTATGCTGATAGCTTTCTTCCCAATAATGCAAATAATAATTCATTATCTTTGATTTATTGTAGTGACTATTTATTATTTTACTTTATCTCTTCACCACACAGTGGTCTAAATACTTTTTTTTTAATAATTAACTCATCTAATATTTATCTAAAATATTATCTTCACCGTCAAACCATTATTATTAATTGTCGAGTAGAAATGTTCATCGTGTAACAGGCGATAATTTTAGGGATGGTAATAATCGGCGCTCAATATAGTAATAGTAATAGTAATATTAATATTAATATTAATATATATATAGTACAGTAGTAATAACAAAATTTTGTCAAAATGAAATTACTATTACTAATTGAAGTTATCAATTTTTAAAATCCGTAACGAAGTCTGTTGAACAAGGGTTATACTAATACTGTATGTCACTATTCAATTTAACATTAATCATCAATAAAAAATTTTATTTTATTTTATTTTATTTTATTTTTTTAATTTTTAATATGCGTAAACGAGTTTGGAAGAAAAAAACTTGAATGTGATTAAAGTATTTTTTTTACATACATTTGGTAAGTGTTAGCTAGTTATTATTATTATTCTGACTTCTTACATTAATTAACATAATATATTTATCTATAAAGGATCGTATGGAGCTATGGTCAATGATGATGGTTTCAGTTGGAATTTCTTATTTGAACGTATAACGAAAGTCACCGTTCCAGTATTATTTAATGATCGTGATAAATTTAGGTTTGTTGTGGACATTCAAAGTAAGTCTATAAATTATTTCACAAATGCTTGTGATGATTGAAATAAAATATTATACTGATGCATTGCATAATACAAATTAGTATGTATCAATTCTTTATCTCAGATTAAACCACAAGAAACTGCTGGAAAAATCGAGCAACTTCGGTTAGACCATAGTTACAATAAGTTCAATCCATCATCTAAGGATCTGACAGATTTAATACCATTCAAACTGCATATACCACAAAAGACAAAGACAAAAAAGGTGTAGAGCCATAAGACCGACTAGCTTGCCACATGGCACTAAAAGTCCATTTATAATTGGTCCATATAGAACAAACATTTTATTTTAAAAATCGAATCCCTATTTTCATATTTATATACATGCTTCAGAAGCAATTAAAAGGTAAATATTGTTATTATTTATCATTTTAAAAAGGTGATTATTTTAGTCGTTATTAAAAAAAAATAGCAGTGGGGATTATTGGTCTGTTCAATTGAAACCTCAATCTTTTTTTTATTTGCCTTTTAGACCTGATGATAATGTAGTTGCAGCTGCATCTACATCAACTGAAGAAACCGGGACCAAGTTTAATCATGACAAATCCTTAAAATTTTTCAAAGAAAATAAGGATTGGAGTCTCTCCAAATATATAGATCATATGGAATCTCAATTAAATGATGTAGAGAAGCCAATATGTTAAACCATATGATGAAATTTTGTAATGATGCAGAGAAAAAAAATGCTAAAAATTACTCAAATATATTTGAAGTCATTTGTTTTTAAAAGATCGTTTTAATAAAATATTAATATTATTTTGAATGAGATTTAAGAATTTAAGAGCGCTAATAATTATTATTATCCCTTAAACAGCTGTTGATAGCCGAAATTTTTTTTCTGTTATAAAAAACTTTTTTTGAAGGTATTATTTTCTAATACGAAAATGATCTTTGAGATTCAGTTGATTGATCTGTGAATAAAAATTCGGTTGTTGTCCTTGTGGTTTTCGTAAAATCTTCCTTAAAAGTTGGTCGATTGA